AAGGAAAATGGATCGATCAATTAATTTTTTGCAGGAGCAAGCTTTTCTGAAACACACCTTACTCTTTCTTTTCTCCATTAAGTCTCCACACGAGCAAATCTTATTCACAATATCCATTTTTATTTTACCACTGTGGTATTGAGTATTTGTTTTTACTTAGTTATTTTGAGTTTGTAATTTCTCTTCAGTCTTCTACATTCCTTTCATTCTGTATCCCGGATCTATGAAATTTTAGTTTGTTGAAACTTTGTTTGTATTTTTAGCCATGTCTGTGAACATGAGCTAATTTCTCTTTGGCATGGATAATATGTGGAATTATAAATGCTCTGTAATTGAATCTTAGTTACTGAATCTAATGGATTTATGTTGTTGATTTTAATATCTTGTATCATTGGAAATTGAATATGACTGGGAAAAAAAATTTCATAAGGAAGGGATTTTAGACTGCTGAACAATAGGAGAAAGGTGAAGGGTGTGGAAACACTTTCACTGGTTGCCGTAAGAATAAGTAACCACCTCGTCTGTTTAAGGTTCTGATATAAGTAATTGTTGGTAACAAAGTCGCCATAGGAATATGGGATTTTGTATACCATTTTAGCCCAAGAGCTTAAGGAATCAACGTTGGAAATGAAAAAGACCTGAACAAGTCTATTGGACAAGGTCCTGAGCCTAGATTACAGCTAGTTTATAGTGGATCAGTGCATCCATCCCTTTTCTTTTAATAGTCGTTCTGCTTATCATATCACCTGTGTTATTTCTTGAACTAGCTCATTTTATTTTCTGTTTACCTTTACTTTATTTTCATGGCTTGTCTTGTTGCACAATTATTTGTTGAAATGGTGGGAAAGTTACATTGTTTCCCTTGTTCACTGGTGTCTGATCGAGATGCTATTTTCTTGAGAAAATTTTGGCAGAATCTTTTCAAATACAGTGGCACCTAATTACGTATGAGTATCACATATCATGCTCAATCGGATGGGCAGACGAAAGTCACGAATCGCTATTTGGAACAGTACTTGCATGCATACTGTCATGACCAAAATAATCGATGATCTAGTGTATTGGCGTGTACAGAACTTCATTACAACACCTCGGTCCATTCACAAATCGAAATAACACCATTTCACGTGCTATATGGCAGGTTGTTGAATCATAGGTCAAGAAGACTATGATATTGAAGTTTTGATGATAACAAAACACCTACAAAGGCTCAACATAGCTCAACATGGATGCTCTCAATGGAAGGCATGACAATAAGTCCTAAATGGTACTAGAAGACCAAAGCAAAGTGCAAAATTGATAAGGCTACTCAAATGTGCAAAGTCAAGATAGAAGTCAAAGCTTTTCAAGTTAGAAGAAGGACTACAAGACTCTAAAGACTTGAAGATCAATGAAGAGAGTTGAAGACATAGTTCTTATTATTTGTAATGTCTGTTTAAAGTCATAGAACTTATAGGAATGAGTTTATTGAGCTTTAACTTGAAAGTTGCATAAATAGATCATAAACTCATGCATTAGTGACACTTACACTTTTAATCATGCATACAAGATCACACGTGCACACACATCAAAAGTTGTTATAAGTGTGGAATATGATCATACATATGCTAGATGTCATTAAAAAGTATTTAGAAGTCATTAAAATAATTAAAATTCGAAAAGATAGCTGAAATCTAAGCTTTTGATATGAAGTAATAGATTAGATAAATGAAGTAATCGATTACCTGGGTTCTTTGAAGAAGAAATTGATTACTTGATGAACAATAATCGATTACCTAAAGTCTCTGAAGAAATAATCGATTAACCATGAAAAGTAATCAATTACTCCTTGTCTTAAGTGACTTAAAGCTTAAGTAATTCAAATTTTTAGATGTCCAACGACTAATAACTTGATAGGACACCTATATAAATATATTCTAAGAGTTTCTAAACAAGGATCAACATTGGAAATCACCACACACATAGAATTCAGATTGAACCCTCATTTGGTCTACTTTTGCATATCCTTGAGGAAAAACTCAACCACTCTCTCGTTTCTTAATCTTTTTTTGATCTTTTTGAGAATTCTAAATGTTGAAAGACTGTTCTACATCTGTTTGAATGAATTTGATTGCTGTAATTGTTTGTGACACAAGTGGAGTGATCCTAAGGGTCTTAGGTTGAGTTTGATCAAGGTGTGATCATATACTTGTGAAATTCTTCTTGTAAATCAATTTTTCTAGCACCGGTTGAAAGCTAGAACATAGTGAAATAGATCGACCTCAGTCTGGATGTAGCTTTTAAGTGGTTAGATCATGAACCAAGATATATACGGTGTGATTCTTTCTTACCTTATCTCTTTGATTTGAATGCTTATAACTTGTTTTCTGAATTATACATGTTCTATTGAATTTGTTTAAGGCATGGGAATCATTAGTTTTCTGTTTGATTACGTTCTTGAATGTTTTCTTGAATAAGGTATTGAACAACATTGATTTTCTTCACATTTTCCTTCTAATTTTGATTCTGCTGTTAAACCTCAGAATTACATGTTATGTAATATGTTTTAATTCTGTTTTTGTGTTGGAAAAATATTTATACTCTGTGAATTGTTTTTGGTTGAAATTTGATTAAAAGGGTTTTGTTTTACATTGTTTCTTGAAGAAGAAGTAAAACACAATTCACCTCCCATCTTGTGTAATTGTTTAGCCATCTTTTCTTTTCAATTGGCCTCAAAGCTTAGGTTCTCTTACTGTAGGTTTAATCACCTAGAGATAAAGATCCATAATATAACTAGTTTTAACAATGATTTATCTCAAGAGGGTAATTCAACAAATAGGTCACCGTATTTCAATGGAACCGGTTATGCTTATTGGAAGTCTAGAATGCAAATCTTCTTGGAATATGTAGATTTAAGAGTTTGGAAAATAGTTGAAGAAGGTTATGATTTTTCTACTGCTTTGGATGACAATGGTCAAAGGGTTTCCAAAAAAGTTAAGGATTTTAATGACCTAGAACTAAAAGAAGCTCAATGGAATGTCAAAGCTAAGAATTTGATTACAAATGCTCTAGGAGAGATGAATATTTTAGGATCTTATCTTGTAAGACCGTTAAGGAAATAATGGTGTAACAATGAGTATCAATATGAATGAATAAAGTTACATGATCCATTCTTTCTCTTAGGGTGCAACACATTGCCACTGTTATTATATACTTCAATCACACTCCTTCTAAGGCTATAGAACTCATAAAAAAGCAACAAAAATCAAAAACTAGATTAAATCTCCTAACAAAATCACTAACTTTAAGCTCCCCTAAAGGCACCTTACTATTAGAATCAACTTTCAATACTTCATCAAAGTTGTATCTTCTTTTATAGGTTTTCCCAAACAATATAAACTCGATTGAATCTTGTAACAACATCTTTAGCTGTGAGCTCACCTTAAGGCCCTTTACAGTTAGAATCAACTTTCAATACTTCATCAAAGTTGTATCCTTTTTATAGGCTTTCCAAAATAATTAGTAATAACTAGAAACTGGATTAAATCTTGTAACAACATTAGTAACTTTGAGCTCCCTTAAGGCCATTTACCATTAGAATCAACTTTCAATACTTCCTTAAAGTTGTATCTCTTTTTATAGGCTTTTCAAAACACTAAAGAATGTCAAATTTCATTGTTTGTAGCTCATGATATGATCAAAAGGTTGACATTAGGCCAAATCCTATGACAACACCACTATACTAACTTCAACTCAATTTAAGCTACTTTAACACTAAAATTAGATTTTGACTTCTTCAACAAAGTTGTAAATCTGCTTCTTAGATTTTCAAAACACCAAAGAATGATCCAATCTGATGTTCATAGCTCTAGTTATGAGTAGAAATCCAACATTGGAACAAATCCAATGATATCAGTAGAAGATATTCTACTAAGCTTTCCATCACATCAAAGAACATCTAAATCCATGATGTTTAACTAAATTACCAAAACTAGACCAAATTTCGCAATAACATCCTATGCTAACTTGAAGTTGTGATCTAAGTCCTTTAATTTCAAAATTAGATTTTATTCTTTTCATCAAAATTTTAGGTCAACATCTAAACTTTTCATAATACTATAGAATGTCCATATCTAAGGTTTATAGCTCAAAATATAATAACAAACTTGTTCTTATCCGGCCGGATGGACTTGCCCAGCTAGCACAAGTAGCTGCCCGACAAGACCACCACTGCTTGGCATGTGGAGCACATGACTCTCTTATACACATGTCCTTTCACACTCCCCACACACGCATGACTTTGTACACGTCAGGGGTCTTGTAGCCTCACACCTAAAGGCGTTCGCAGGGCTGAAAACAATTATGACATCACACTTTGCGCACTTGGAATGAATCTCCCGCCTCCTATTTAAGGGGACCTTAGCTCCCTCAATATTCATCTTCTTTGTTTGCTCTCCATTATTATTACTCCGTTGAACTCTCACCTCAACCATAGTTGTTACCCTTAAACCCATCCCCCTTTAGCACCCTCAACACGACTGAGGCTAATTCGGTGACATCTCATAGCTTTGGTCTATAACATTGCGTGTTTCATCTATGTCATAACAATATACTTCATAGTCTTGTGAAACAGATCTGTACCTAACTTAAACAATGTGTTGTCGTGACGAAAATGACGAGTGTGTGAAACGAAGGAAGAAGAATATGTTACCCCTTATCGTTTTCCTTATTTTTGAACGAGTCAACCAACAAACCTTTCTATCATCAATTTATTATAATTTTATCTGTTTGTTATTTTTATTGTGGTGTGTGCGCGCGCGCTTCTAAGATTCTTGATAAGGTTGAAGGAGGTTAAAAGTTCGATTGACGTGTATATTACGTTGTATTGTACACTCATGAGATTACCCAATCATCTTTGTTTTTCTTTCGAAAAGGCCAAATCACTACTCTACTCTTCCGTCCTATAAATTTATACTATTTAGAGTACGCTTCCCTCGTATAGATATGAATATCACAAGACTCTCTCACAGTTTTCGAAGTTGACACGGAAAGAGAATAATAGTCAGAAGTCTACTTAACCTGTGAAAGCTTTTTCTGCTTTGTAGGAGATAACTTTTTTTTTTTCGCATCATCTTTCATTCGGAAAGATTAAATGGAAGGGAGTGTTGGGAATATGTTGAAGCTAAATATGATAATAGTGATATTGTGGTTTTCCAAATTGAGCATGGGTTTGGTTCATAATGATATGAATGGATTTGGAGAGCAGCCACTGTCCAAGATTGCCATTCACAAGACCATTCTTGCGCTCCGTAGCTCGGCCTCTATTACAGCAGCCCCGTATGTCTTGGGCAATAAGGTAATTAACACAGGGGATGTTTGGTTGAGAAGAAATTTTTTGAATATTAGTAAAATGTAATTACTAAGGAAATAGTTGGAAAGTGAGTTTGGTAGGAAAATGTAAAAAAAGTTGTTTGGTTGACCGAAATATTACCAGGAAAATTTATTTAAATTTGCAAAATCTATGTTCGGGAGAAACTTCGCACCTGTTTTTTCACTTTCCCAGATATCTCAAAATACCACATCTCAAGTGGTATTCTGTAACAGTGAATTCCATCTAAAAATCAACACAAAAATCATTTCCCCATTTATCCTAATTGCCTAGTTTTTTTTTTTTTTTTTTTTTTGATAACAAGTATTTTTTTTTTAAACATGAACCAAACGTGGTATTTTTCAATATCCACTTACACTTTCCTATCAATCTCAAAATAAATCTTCTACCAACTAATTCCCTGTATGTGTTTTTTTTCCTGATTCATTTCGACTAGTTGGGTGGAGTCGGGTAGGACCACAAACATATGTTGCTTTAATTTTAAATGTTCAACTCATTTCATATATTATTATATAATTTTTATCAGTTAATTACAGCTACTCTCCCTTTATGCAGCAAGCATTTTGAAGGAAAAGGAGACCAGTACTCTAATCCCTATTATTATTGGTTATTATTTGGGATTAATATTTCTTACACATATAAAAGCATGTGTGGTCCATGTGAAAGGAAGGAAGAAAAAAAAAACAAAAACATAAGCTCCACGTATTTTTATGTTTGTGTAGGAGATAAAATTATCTTATTATTTTTTGGGTTTAAAATGTTCATCTTTAAAATAATAGGGACTTTGAAAGAAAATGTTTAACATTTGTAACTAACATTGCATTAATTCAATATCTGTAATGTGTTACAAATATAAAGTCAAATCTTATTTTTTTAACGAGTTCCAAACCTAAAAGTTTATTTATAAATCAAATATTTCTTATTTTTACAAATCCTAGACACATCATATAGATCAGTTTGGTCTATTTTGAAATTCTAACCCCTTTGGCCAATTTACTGTCTTGGTAGTGAGTCATTTTGGTTTATCACAAGTAAACAACCACATGCCATGCAGTATGCTTTAGCCTTACAGTATTTAATATATAGAATTAACAGTTGTGCTTTTACATATATGGTTGCAGGGCGAGGATACCGAATGGGTGACTGTAGAACTAAAGTCCCCAGAACCATCTATAGATGATTGGGTGGGAGTTTTTTCTCCAGCAAATTTCAAGTAATGTGCAACTCTCTTTCTCATGGGGAATATAGATTTAGTACTAATTATATAAAATGAGAATAGATCCTCTCATTCTCATTTTAACGTGTAAAAAAATTTCAGTCATTTATTGGAGAGAATAATAATCAATAAGACATGAGAGGATAGTTTACCAAAAATTATAAAACTCATTATACTCACTAGATCACCCCATAATAAGGGACACTCATCCCACCAACTTAAATTTTCACAGCCAATGTATATCTTGTTCATGGTGGAATGGTATACAATTTTTGGCCATGGCATTAAATATGAACATCTCACTATTGTTGACACAAACTAAAGGAAATACTCTTTTTCTACAATTGTGTCCTTATGAATTCATCGTTATGCCCTTCGGTCTTACAAATGCTCCCTCAACCTTTCAATCAATTATGAATGACATTTTTAGACCCAATTTATACAGCTTTATCATCGTTTTCTTTGATGACATTCTCATTCATAGCAGGTCAATCGAGGATCTCATGCAGCACTTGTCAGTGGCGTTGAATGTCTTGCAGAAAAATGAATTTTATGTGAAGGTTAGTAAATGTTCTTTTGCAGCCTCAGAGATTGCTTATCTGGGTCATATAAAGTCCGATTGTGGTGTTAAAGCTGATCCAGCCAAAACTCAGCCATGGTGGAGTGGCCCACACCAGCATTAATCAAACAACTTCGAATGTTCCTAGGTCTCACTGGCTATTATCGGAGGTTTGTGCATGGATATGCTTCCATAGCATCACCTCTAACTGATTTACTAGTTGCTAACAATTGGTCTTGGTCCTCAGAAGCAGAATTGGCGTTTGTTACCTTGAAAACAGCCATGGCTTCAACCCCTATTCTTGCACTACCTGATTTCTATCTTCCATTTGCTATTGAAACTAACTGACACATCCAACCTATGTGCATTACCTGGTCTGTGCATGGCAGCAACATCAACCTATTGTAAGGGTTCCTTCTTAGTTGGTAATTCATGGAGTCTGTAATTGCAATTTCTTAGTTGGTCATTCTGAGTAGTGCTAAGAGTTCCTTCTTTATTGTAAGGGTTGTGCCCAGTTAGTATTGTAGAGAACGCTGCTTTCATTTCCTTATTCATATTGTAAGGGAATTGTCCCAACCCTTTATTAATGCAATAGTTGATAATCGTGTTTTTTCAGTGATTCAGTGATCTTAAAATACTATTCAGTGATCAACACAGGATCCTTTTATGAGACCATGGATTCAGGTGGAGAATGTGGAGTTCCTGCAGAGACCATGTACTATTTTCCTGCTGAGAACAGAGCCAAATTCTGGTATGTTACATTAATCTACATGCAAACGATGATACGTTTGCCTTTAGTAAATCAAATTATCTTCCCTATATTAAATTTATCATGCCACTTTGTCCAAGATGGTCAATATTACCTTGACCGATTGTTACCTATCCATTATTTTTATAACTTCATCATGCATATGCAAAAAGACATCTATTCATCCTTACAGTTATGGTGCAGTTTCTAGTTTCGCCAGCAACAATTGGGATGCACTGTTTTTTTTTTTAAAAAAAAAAAAATTCCAAATGAATGATGAGAATTGAAAACATGCAGGTATGCAACAGATTATGGAATGTTTCGTTTCTGCATAGAAGACAGTGAGCATGACTGGAGAGAAGGATCAGAACAATACAAATTCATTGAGCATTGTCTTGCAACAGTTGATAGAAAGCAACAACCATGGTTAATCTTTTCAGCTCATCGTCCACTTGGATACTCCTCTAATAGTTGGTATAGCTATTCCACTTGAGCATGACTTTGGGTTTTCCAAACTGACAGCGTTCAATCACTCATATCTCCTCTTTGAGTACAAGAAAAGTAGTGACGGAAAAGTACATGACTCGTTTACCATTTCAAGGGACTACAGAGATGTCTTGGCCTGTGTCCACGATGGTTGCGAGAAAACTACTCTAGCATCTTGAATTATGGATCCATATTATGTAGTAGACTTGATATGGTCTTGAAATGAAATAATATATGGTCAAAATAAATAAGATTTAGGACGCACGGATATAAATACAAAACACTCGAGACACTGAAACGTTAGTGACCATATGAGTAAGGCAAATTTTGAAAAATTATAAGACATGATATGACTATACTATAAAAGAGACATAATATTAATGAAAATACAAATTTTTAATAAAAATAAAAAACATCAATATTCCATAAGTCAGCTTTATCATTGTGAAAATAATAAAATATTATTATATATTTAATTATTGTAGCATTTCGAAGTCTGATAGAGGAAGTCTGGCCGACAACTTAATATATATGATCTGAATTCAAGCTTCAATTTATAATATACTGTACAATTCATATGCTACACCGTAACTACATAACTCAAACAAATACAACATATCAATATCAGCTGTCAGAATCAAATAAACATACAATTTGGTTTGCAAATCGCAACTTGGGTATGACTACTATTACAATTCACAACTCATTGTCTCAGCACGTGAGGTAGCTAGCAATTTTGTGAATCGTCAATATAAATTATGGAAGCCTTCACAGAAATAAGCATCATAGTGAACCAAAAATTAAGGTGAAAACTTTTAACATTGCACTGGGGGATAAAAGGCTGACATTTGCAATCCATAGTGCATTCCCTATCAACCATCCATCTCAATATCACAAGATTTGCTTTCTTGATCATCTGGTGAACTGACAGATCCCAACAGATCATCAATTCTGAGGGGAGAGTGTCGAACACTATATTGGAACATAACCTATAAGAGAAAATTTGCAGCATGATTAAAATCAAAACCTTGAAAACAATGAATCGTAAAAACAGTAATTGTGAACAATGTATGATGTTCTCGAAAGTTTTCTTCAGAAAAACGGTAAATCAGACTAAAAGCAGAACAAACATGCAAAATAAGCAAACCAATGTAATTCATTTGATAAAATTCTCCTACTATCTCCAGCATTCTATCTCATCTCTGAGCATTTACTTGGTCAGTCTCACATGGATATCAGCAAAATGTACAAGAAAGCAACAAGGAAAATCAATTTTAATAATTCTTCTCAGGAAACTGTCATTTTCTGTAAAGCGAAGCAGTTTCCATAACCCATAATGTGAATTAAAGAAATCATGACAAAGTCGTGTCAGCAGGTTGAAGAAATGATTGCCTTTTGAAATATCAGTGTTAATGGAAAAATTACAAGGCACTTACGAAATATAATAATGATAATGATGAAATGAGAAGAGAGGGTAAAACCAAATATAAACCTCTGAACAATTCACCACTCATAAAGCACCTAAACTAAGATACAAGTTAATCCTTTTCTATAAAGACAAGTCCCCAGCAATCCTAATGGTATAAAGATAAGAAACTTAACTGAAACCTTAATTGTAAAATTTCTCAAATTACCAAAACCTCAAATCCTTGCACCAATAGTCATCACTAATCACTAATTATATAATATTAAGTAGAATTTACACTGATAATCAAATGGTACATCTAATCTGAATAAAATTATATTGGACTAAACTTCAATTTGGTCCTCCAAAGATTTTCACATCAAATAAGTCTTCCAAAGATTAAAAGTGTCATCAGAAATCAAAATAGTCCTTTCATCAAGCTAAGCTACCTACATTAAATTAAGGACCATTTTGTTGGGACTTTAATCTTTGAAAGACGTACTTAATGTCAAGATATTTCGATTGATGTTAAGTGAATCTTACCAAATTGGTAGTTCAGTAAAAATTATATTCCCTAAAAATTTTTTCTAATAACATTATTACATTTTCCATATTGATTTGCTATCCATCGAGAGCAAAATGTTAATCTTCAAATGAAACAATAAGTTGCAGATATTTTAGAGGTTTACTAGAATATTCCCTTACAACCTTAGAGAAACTATCAGCAGAGGCACGAGCTCGATTGACCTTGCCAAGATAATTGAGATTAGCTCTCTCAAGCTTGCCGTCCACCAAAACCAATCCTCCCTCTCCAATTGCAAAACGTAGAAGACATCCAGGCTCTAACCCTGACTGCAATATTGAAGAAAGTCACATAAGAATTACTTGGTAAAAGATAAAAAAGAAAAATGAGTTTGATGCCTAAGACGCAAGCTTGTTTATTGCTACTGTTAGAAAAATATGATAAAAAACCTATTAGTGTGACCTTCATCTAACAGCTTAAGTTGTTGGATTGAATTGGTTGCTTTATAGTATAACATTGCATGACTGAAAGTCTATCATACTACCCTTCCAGAATTATTATTTCTCGGCCAACCATTTCTATCAGTTCAGTGCTGTAAAAATACATCAATTTCCTAGCAACCATGTAAGATAATACATAGTGGAAGAAAGTTTCAATTGGATAGGCCTCATAACTAGATTAAGCAGCAGCTGACAATTTACACTTATATAAAAACATCTTTCAAACAAACCTGTTGGGTAAAGCTTCCATCTAAACAGCCAAATACCACAGGGGGATCATCAGAGGTAGTCAGTTTTCCATCTTCTTGAAGCTCCAAAACCACCTGGTTTAGAAAGCCAGAAAAACTGATTAATCAACATCACTATATGTAGATTATCTCAAGTAAATATATGAATCAATTTGTAGATTTAGGACCTCTTTAAAGTTGTAATCAGGTATATATATGTGTGTGTGTGTGTGTATCCATTGAAGCGTGGGTTTGAGTTGAGTCAAGTGTATACAGTCTTACACTCTTCCTGTTGTGCCAACTGTAAGAGCTCAGTCATAAGTTTTACAGTCAGTTTCAAAATAATTACCTTTTACAATCAGTTCCCAAATAAAATTGTAGTGTTTCCTGAACTGATATTTCTGACCCTTATATAATTTTCAAAACTGTGCCTTGCCAAAATCTCAAGAGATGCAGATCAAGAAAATGCAAGTTTCACTGATTGTAACATCCCAAGGGCTGGCAAGGGCAAGGAGTGATCGCCGGTGCAAAAGAGAAAAGGCGCGGACAATGAGCGGCTCATGCTAAATCTTGCAGCTGGGGGGATACATGAATGAATCGAATCAACACCTAAAAGAGAGGGATTCCAAAGACCGTGCAGGTATAAGACTGTATAGTTGGGGATAGCTTATAAGAATTAATTAGTACTACCTATACTAACAAGATGCATCTACTTTTCGGTAACCTGGAACGGAAGAACTCCATAGTTAAGCATGCTTAACTTGGAGCAATTCTATGATGGGTGACTTCACGGGAAGTTTTCCCATGCAGAGTGTGAGTGAAAACAAAGCACGTTGAAAAGTCTCGTGTTAGTTTGTAGGGATAGTCATTGATCTTGCAAGCGGCCGGAGCGTTACAAGTGGGGTATCAGAGCAGGGCCTCGCTCCTAGTACGGTATGGTTCGAGGACGAACTAGGCGGAAGCTGGTGGGCATATAACATCCCAAGGGTTGGCAAGGGCAAGGAGTGATCGCCGATGCAAAAGAGAAAAGGCAGGAACAATGAGCGGCTCATGCCAAATCTTGCTGCTGGGGGGGGTACATGAATAAATCGAATTAACACTGTACAGATATGGGACTGTACAGTTAGGGATAGCTTGTAAGAATTAATTGGTACTACCTATACTACTTTACCGTAGCCCGGAACGGAAGAACTCCATAGTTAAGCGTACTTAACTTGGAGAAATTCTAGAATAGATGACTTCCTGGGAAGTTTTCCCAGGAAGTGTGTGAGTGAGGACAAAGCACGCTGAAAAGTCTCGTGTTAGTTTGTGGAAACAGTCATTGATCTTGCAAGCGGTTGGGCGTTACGCTGATACAAACACAAAACTACATCCAAATTTCGAAAAGACAAACAATCATATCATCCTTTTTTCCATCTTATATTTAACCATACTATATGCAACATTACATGTGCACCACAGAAACACTTCTCCATCTATACCTTTGGAAACTTAGTACAAGATGTCAAACAAATATTATAATAATAATGAATGTAGGGTTCGTTTTTTCTGTAGTCAATGTAGATAAGAGCCCAAAACAACGTCGTTTTGAGACGGAAATCCAGGTATTTTAGTAATTATAATTTATTTCAGGGTTATAATAGTCTTTCTCATTATAATTTTTTAATCTTTTGCTCTAAAACGACATCGTTTTAGGAGTGAATGTAGATAACTTATCTACATTCACTGTAGAAACATTAAGGCCGTGAATGTAATATGTTATTTATTTACAACTTCAAAAAATATTATTGAGTTTCATCTAACCATGATGGTACAACCATTATACCTTTATTATGGAGCATCAGGGCAATTTATTCAACAAGGCATAATAGCCTATGTTTGACATTCACATGTCCATAATGTTATGGTAACTTCCATTCTAAAACGAAGGGAAGAGGGGGAGGGGAGGGAAATGTCAACTTTAAACAATTGGAACTTAGAAGATTGCTAGAGGCTGCTACGACATAGGTGGGTGATTTTCTCCGATTTCTGTAATAACAAGATCTAGTTCACCAAACAAGATTCCATAAAAAATTGTGTAAAGGAACACTTGTTCAGACACAGTATCTCTACAAACACTTAAGACTGTATCAGAGCAAGAATATTTTTGCATTGATATTGCCTAACAGAGTAGTGTACTTTTGCTTCAAAATCATAATTGCCCGATTTTCTTAGAGAATATATAGTCGCAATGAATATGAAGCAAGTAAAATTGATCCATAAAGTGCCTAAAAAGGGTACCAACAGTCCATACATACACTGTTCAAACATAAAGGTTAAAAATCCGAAAAAGCAAATGAACGAAATATATTATATACAGTAAAGAAGAGGCACAGAAAGCCAAACAATGAAAAAGATGCAAAGGAAGCAAGGGAAAACACCTGCTGTTGGTTTGGAACCTGTCCTTTGCTATCCGTGTCCATAACATATTGACTACAGTTCTCATCCTTCCAAACTAATGCTAGCGGCGTAATTCCTGTCTGGTAGTGTGCATGCCTAATAACGAAATCAAATCAAAACGAATTACCCAAAATAAGAGCCTACCAAATAGAAATAGCAAGCAAACTTAACGACTGTTGGAACTAGCTATTGGCTACAACACCAACCAAAACTGAGTTTTATTTCAAGACAAAACTTGCAATGAAAGAAATAGTTATTACTTGCTATAAAAGAGAAGACCGTCCTTGACATAAGGCACTGGTGCCGTATAAGCAGCATGGAGACCGCTCCGGTCACAACCGTACACCGGAACCAAACTGAACCTATACTTGTGATAATACGAGGGAGGGTCACAAGCACCGGTCTCGGCAAGCTTGGAATTCAACCAAAAGAACCTGAACTCAGCGGTGCAATCGTAGAGCGAGTAACCCCGCCAGCAAACCATGTCAATAACGTAGTAAGTTTGATCCACCTGCTAACCCCGAAACCACACAAAAGTCACCAAACAAAACACCAACGTTAAAAAAAAAAAAAAAGAACAGGACACACGACATTTTATTTACCAAGGAAACTAATAACCTCGTGAAAGATGCAATCCAATATAGAGTAAAGCTGAGAAGAACCGGATGAGACGTCCTTCTTCCTTGCCCCGTTAGGCAACGCCGAAGGAAAACGATGCAGTATCGACCCGTTCCTTAAACGACTTATCGTTGTTCCGTTACAAGAAACGACAAAACACCGTTTCCCAGAAGGCCTTGCAAACACAAACCTGAAAAAATAAAACAGATAGAGAAATTGGATAATTCAGTGGATGTGTCATGTCTGTTCGAGTTGTGAAGCAGAGGTTCGAGGAAATTAAGGTAAAGGAACAAGGACGGGACCAGTCATGTGTGAGCCTGTCGGGGATATCGATCATCCATTCAGGGAGCATGAGCTGTTTGGCGAACCATTTGCGAGCTTCTGCGCCTTTCAGTTTCGAGGCCTCAAGGACGTCGAGGTCCCTATGCGAAGGCTCCGGGTTCTCCTCGGGTTCGGGTTCGGGTTCGGGGATAGGGAAATCGGGCGTTTGGGATGGGAGAGAGAATGCGGTGGAGGCCAAGAAGCGAGCGTGGTGCTGAGCGTCGCGCCGATTCTGTGCCTGCCGGAGCAGAGATTGTTCCCTGCGCCTCTCTTGATCGGAGATAACCGGTCGTTTAAACGGACGGCGGAGATCGTGCGGTGGCATGGCTTTCTCGGCACAGTGACAATTCTCGCTCGCTCTGAGGTTGTTCCTTAACATAGTTCAGCGCGTCTTTACTTTAGTATCGTTTTGAATGTTTTTTCGTGGGCCTCATTTACAGGCCCAATTAAATTGTCGGCCCAATTAAAACGTTGTCACTTTTACAACTCGCGGTAGCTGCTATGCTACTAGCGGCAAAGGAAATCATCACTGAAGTGAAGAAGGGTGTGGGGGGTTTATGGAGGAAAGTTTATGGGGTCATTTGCCGGTGCTGTTAAGGGCGAATTCCAAAGAATCAATTGAATACGTTCTTGAAGCTCTTTGGAGAACACGAAAAACCGGTCTTCACTCTTCTGAACGACGCATCATCCAAGACATGCTACAACTCCAAAACGACTCTGACCTCGACCCAGTACTCTACCCTCTTATCTCTCTCTCTTTCACAGTTTTTACTTTGTTGATTTCTTCTGGTACTCATCATCATTGTAACTCTTATCTGCAGCTTCTGGTTTGTCTCCGAATGTTAATCAGGAAGTGTGTTTATGAGGATACATGCAAGGATGATATTCCAAAACTGTTTCCCAGTGAAGTTCTGCCTGAATTGCAAAAGCTGTTGACACTTCTGTTGCACAAGTTTCAGCCAGTGTGGCAGGAAGATGTGTTGAAAGATCAGGTCAGCTATTTTACTGTGTGTTTTGTTTGTGAGCTTGATTGGATACTTTTGTTTTACATTATATTTAAATTTATATTATTTTCAGAATATTGTGCCTCGATTAAAGTCAATGACATGGAATATGGCTAATATGGATAAAGAATCAAATGACCCTTCGGCTGTTATTAATTTGAAGGTACTTTCCTTCAATTACCTTTTCATTCTGCAATTGCATTTTTTAAAACAAGTTACAAGTAACAGGTGTGCATGTCAATTGGGTCTCTTTGATTGTGTTCTGGTTTTTTGTTTTCTTTTTAAAACTGTTTTGTAGAATAGTTATGGAAATAAGTGTTTTCTATATTATTTTTTGTTTTGAAAGTTAAAAGTCCAAACACAAAACAAAAATAACTTAGACATGTTCTCTAAATTTGATTTTAAAAAAATTTACAATTTTTTAAACTTTTTTACAAAACAAGCTTATACGATATCCGCGATTCCTATTAATTTTTAATCCAATACACAAATTTATTGGTTCTATTATGTTAGCTATATGTTGTGTATCATCTCTTCCAGGTTATATCGCGAATCTTTTAGATAGACCTCTTAAAGAATTAGAAGGTCTAGTATATTGCGATGTGTGATTTGATCAAAATACACCTCCATGAGCTTTGGCAATGTTATTGATCAATTCCATAATGAGTATTGTTTTACCCACCCGAGTTCCACCGAAAAGTCCTATTTTTGCTCCACGACAATAAGGAGCTAAAAGATCATCAAACGGGTTTTTTTGTTTTTTTTCTTCTGTATACCAAAAAACTGTTTTTAGAAACAGTATTCAAACTAGTGTGCTGACTTTATTATTATGTGTATATGTGTTGTATGTGAAATGATTAAGGGAAAACTGTTTCTCCAAAACAATGTCATTTTCGGATTGGGAAAAAGTAAAAGGCTTTTTGAGAATTTTCCTTTTCTCTTGTAACATGGGATTTTCTAAAACACAATGTATTTTTTCCCTCAAATCCCAAAACAGTATCTTCTCTTACAAGAGAAACAACAAACCCAATTATTAAATGTGGTTTTATGTGGTACTATAGTTTTAACTACGGCACCCTTTTTCAGCTTCAAAATGATGCTCGATTTCGTTCAGGAGAGCTGGATGTGAAGTTCCAGTTGGCTACAGATTCTCTAGAGATGATGCTGAAAGCCATGCACTGTATTAGAGACCAGTTTTCAACGATGGTAAATATTGTGCTGAAGTTTGTTCTTGTATTGGCTGTCTGATTTTCTAATGAACTTGTTATATGTTGTCAGGACGAGGCACCAAACGGCCATTAGTACCTGGAAACCAATGCAGTTTCTTACAAGATGCCTCACAAAGAATGGTATGACATGCTTGACTAAATTTTTGCTTGTTGCGTTTAGTTTTATCTGGTATGAATCTTAGTGAACAAAGTTGGTTAAATTTGACTGCCAAAGTAACCTGTGTTTTAGATTTTGTCCTGAGCAATGTCTTTGACTTCCTCATGAATTTACTTAAGTCAAATTGTCTTTGCATGTTTATCTTATAAATGGTCTTCCTGATAGACAATGCGAGGATATTGATTTTGCTTGGTGGTTTGAATTGGACAATTGAGCTAATTATGGTTCAACTAAGTGGTCTTCCATCAACAAAGCTTTATCCCACTAGATGGAGAAGGCGACAAATTAATCTGAAGTTACAATTTCATATTTGAAGTTTTCTTTCCATGGGGCGTAGGTGGGTGAGGGACTGGGTGGTTTTTATTTATATGGGGACAGGGAAGAGGAGGGACTATACTGGATCATGTTAATTAAGAAAATAGAGGAGCAAATAAAATGGATGCCAGTTGTGTTGATGGTGTTTGCTTACAAAAGAGAGACAGATCGGTGCTTTACTAACTTTCAAATTTAGAAGACTTTTTTTCCTAAAAGTTGTGTGTTTTATTTTTGTTAGACTTGAAAGGAGATGAGAAAATCATCATGTAAAATTAACCACAAAGATCTTTGTTATTCCTTATTCAATTCATTTTGTAAACTGAATATTGAAATAATCTGAATTGAATTGCAGCACAAGTTTCTATATTTGAGTTACTCTAAACTCTTCTTTGTTTCTTTTACTTCTTTTTGAGAGGGGATTGCCCCGCCCGGGTGTCAACTGAAAACATATGTAAGATTTCTATGTAATTTAGGTTCTCAATTCTCTAATATGTCGCTCATATAATATGTTATAGATAGACCATAGCGCAATGTAATTTCAACCAAATATTGTTGGTCTAGTTTATATTTGTCTAATACATAAAGCTGATGCTGATTTCAGTTTGATCTGAGTTTGGAAATTTGCTTTGTTTTTCTGGTACAACAGGAGGACACAGATGACAGACCTGGGGAGGGGAAATCGACCTTTGTTTTTCTTTCAAAACGTATATGTATCACTGAATAATTTCATTAGTTTTAAGGATTTTACATTTTTTTTATTTTTTTTTGCAGAAGATAAAAAGAAGGGGGGGAAAAAGAAAAGAGAAAAGGAAGAGGAAGTGAAAAAAAAGATTCTTACTGTTGATGTTGGGTTTGGAGTCTGAGAAACTGGGTTTGTTGCTGCTCAGTTGTCTTTGCTCTTGTTTTTTCATCTCTTATGCCAAAACATTCTATGTGCGTTTTAAAAAAAGAGGGCAATTATTAAATTATCTTTATCACTCTTACAATAAATACATTAAAGCAATTATATAAAATCAAACATAAAATAATTATAAGTATATAAGACAATAAATTAAGAAATATGGATTTAGATTTACAAAAGGAGTAAAATCTAAGAAAATAAAAAATTAATGGATTGAATCATCACATATCTATAACATATTATGTAAATACTTGTATTTTATAAAATTGTAAATGATAATTTTTGTCATCAAAAATTTTCATATCATACTTTTCTATATATAGTGTAATAAATATAAGGTAAACTATTTCTTCAGTCAATGGAGATAAGTTATTTTCGGTGAGCTCAAAATGACATTGTTTTGAAATGGAAATCAAGGTGTTTTTGTAATTCTAATATATTACAGTGTTATATTAGTCTTTATCGCTATAATTTTTTTATCTTATAACCTCAAAACGACGTCGTTTTGAGGTCATTCACTTTATCTCCGGTGACTGGAGAAATATTTTTCTCATAAATATATATCATTTGTAGGGTGTAAATAGGCTATGCTAGTTTTTGGTTTAAAAAAGTCAGGCCTGCGCAAAAAAAAAAAAAAAAAAAAAAAAAAACTTAGGCTTGGCCTGACCTGTTAGCTTATGTAGACTCAAATTATAAGTTTATCCTAACCTATATTTAAAAAATAATAGTCTTGACCTAGGTCTGTTAGTTTGTTTAAGCCTATTAAACATTCAATAATTAAAAAAAGAGTAAATATCATTTTTGGTCCTCAAGACAAAACATGAGATCCAAATTAATCCCTTAAAAAAATTACACTTGTGGTCCCTAGTAAATTCAAACGTAGCGCACGTTAGTCCTTCCGTCACTGATGATTGAACGGCGTCAGTAACGTTACTCACGTGTAATGTTACTAATCTGAGTCACATGCCATGTAGGATGGGTAAAACGACGACATGGCCTATATAATAACCCTAACCTAATTAAATGCTGAATTGTATTGTGGTATTTGATTAATCAGATTAATTAAGTGAGAGGCTTAATGCAAAGGTTAGATTAAATATTAATTATTCACATTGTAGATAAAATAAGTAAGAAGGCTTAGTTCAATCAATGTGAGCCTAAGTGAGTGTTTTGGGGTAAAAATGGGTGTAGACAAAATTACTCGGAATGTAAAAGTAAAGTTAGAAATATGATGGTAAAAATATTTTAGACCAATAGGTAAAGTTTGAAAGAGAATGAAAGTAACTAAATAGACAAGTTTATATCCAGTGAGGTGATATAACTTATTTAAACTCATTTTCTTCCTTATTTTCTCTTATTTCCTCGACACTATCTTTCTCCTGCGTCTTCTTCCCTTCAACAGAAAGAAAGAATCCATTGTTGAAAAGCTTGATTTCCAACTTCTCTATTTCTCAGCCAAATCACCTGGTTCTTGAATCAAAGTTGCTTAGAATATCCATACAAACATAACCCTTATTTCAAATATCCTTGAAAGTGTGTGTAGAGAGAAAAATGGAAGGGAAAGTGGTGACCATTGTTGATTGGGTGTCTTGGAGTGGTCCATTACTTGAAGTAAGGCTTGGAATCTCTTCCTTGAGTGATTCTAGGTGACTTGGTGTTAAGAAATCCTAATTTCCTTTGTGTTTTGTGGAAGATTCATTTCTAGGTTTTTCTATGAAAATGGGTCTTTAAATGAGGTAGTTGGAGCTTGATTGAGGCTTAGGCCAAGTTGGCGCTGTTGGCGTCACCAAACAGTGGGCTGGCGCTGACGGTGCCATAAGATGGTGGGAAACCCATTTTCTGGCGCTATCAGCTCTGGCTCTGTAAAATTCAACACTCTTTCTTTCAAAAATTCATAACTTGAGCTACGGTACTCCAAATTGAGCACGGTTTAAACCCACGCGTAGCTAACAAAAAGAGGAGCTATATAATTCCTGGAGTAATTAAAAAGTGAAGATGTTTAGTGTTGAATATGAATAAAAATGAGTTTTAAGTCTTGTTGAATTAATTAGACTACTTGGCGCTTTGTGGAAGTGATGTATGGGATGGTTAAATAAACCTTAGGTGTTTTGCATATTGTTCAAGTTATGATTACAACTTTTGAAATTGTTTTAATTACATAACTGATTTTAAATAGAAACATTTATTAACGCAAAAGGAAAAAGTTTATCCGTTTTTTAATTCAATTGTTGTAATTGTAAATGCACTTAATGTCATACGTAATGTTAACAAACCGGTTCTAGAACGAGGTGTTACAATCTACATTGTCACCCTCGTAACTCCAGAGCAACCCACATAGGATGAGTAAAATGACGTTGTGGCTTACGTTGTCACCCTACTAACACCATAGCAACCCACATTGGATGAGTACAACCTACATTGCGCACGACGTTGTTTTACTCATCCTATGTGGGTTGCTCTGGAGTTAGTTGGGTGGCAACATAAGCCACGACGTCGTTTTACCCATCCTACATGGCATGTGACTCAGATTAGTAACGTTACACGTGAGCAACGTTACTGACGACGTTCAATCATCACTGACAGAAGGACTAACATGGGCTCCGTTTGAATTTACTAGGGACCACGGGTGTAATTTTTTTTTTAAGATATTAATTTGGGTCTCGTATTTTTTCTTGGGGTTTATTTAGAATAAATAATATGATATAGACTGACCTGTAGGTTTATAGGCCGATATGTACAAAAAAGCCAATGATCTACTTTGTAAATAGTTTTTTTTTTAAGTCAAGGCTTGTTTTATTTGACTATTTATAATAGGTCAGACCTGTCCTAATATAGGTAAAGCTGTAGGCTGGCCTAGTTTATTTACACCATAATCATTTGTATTAAGAATTGGTTTATTTAACCTTGAAAACAAAATGGGTCTTCGTAATTTTGGGTTAGCAAAAAAAATAAAAAATAAAATATCAATAAATGAGTTCGAAGAAATTAAGAAAAGTTATATAAAAGAAATTGTTATATGGAATAAATAATGAAAGTTACTTGAGAGATAAATTTAAAAATTAAAGATAAGGAGTTAAGAGACATATTATTTGAACTAACAAATTATTTTTGAACTTACACAACAAAAGCAGTTTTCATAATTTAGTGAAAGTGAATTTAAAATTTTTAAGAATATTGATAAATGCACTAATCATATGCATTATGCATTCCTCTTTTGAGATAGATTCTTGGCTGAATAAATGATGGATAGGCTAACTTAAAACCCCAAATTCCATCTTGAAAAAAAAAAACTAAATTCTACAAATTTACAATAAATAAACCATTTTGTTGACTCTGAATTGGAACCCTAATTACCAAATTGGGTTCATGGGTAGCCAAATTGTGCCTAAAGGCCCATCAACCCCTATGTTTTTTTCTTTTTCTTTTTTTTTGATACATGACCCCTATGTTCTTTTATTCTACATCTCTAACATGAAATTGTGTACACCACAAATTTTCGACATAAATAAAAAAAAAATTATCAAAAATAGTTTTTACAAGTCTGAAATCATTCTATTATATTCCCTATTTTATGTTTTCAAAAAATAAATTATGCTGCACTTTATAAAATCATTTTGTTGATGTATTTTAAAAAGTAAAGCTCATAATTGCTAATTGTTGATGAAAATTAATTATTTATGGTTTTTAAATACAAGCACTGATATAGTATATTATTAAAATGCGAAAACTCACTCCATTGGTTTTGTTTTATCATGTCTTTACTTTCGTTTTATTTTTAAAAATATACCCATCACTTTAGAATATGCAAATCCTTTCTTATGTGCCATTAGCAATATTAACTGTGTTACAATTCAATTGTGTAATAGTTTTTACAATAATAAAAATAAGTAATGAATTTGTGCAGTACGAAGTGTTACAACTTACAAGAATAAAAATTCATTTGCCCAAAGAAAGCTAGGACGAAGGGGAGATGATCCATTTCTCAAGTCAACATGTGGTATAAATTATAAGATTATTGTGATATTAAGATAATAAATCACGAAAGAACTACGAACAAGAATAATGCAATACCAATGAGCTTATAATTTTATTAGGGATGAAATATTAACAGTCCAGTTTAACCCATAATTGAATAACAATCCAACCCATCCCTATTTATTTAAAGAGAGGGGTTATATTTACAACCTAAATAGTTTACAAACTCTTATAATCATATTTTAACTGTTGATTTCCACCAATCAATGGTTGTTATTTATTATGAATTAATAATTAATTAATAAATTTGATTTGCGAAGATCTTAACCGTTGATTAAGATATGGTTGTAAGAAGTTGTAAACGAAAATAAGTTGTAAACAAAAATAAGTTGTAAATATAATTTTCCCCTTATTTTAAATTATAACATGATTAATATTAGGAAAATATAACTCTCATGTAATATAAGAGAGTTTTTCTCTCATACACACCCATAGAAAAATGTATCATTCTTTTTCTTTCTTTTTTTATTTTAAAAAATAGTGGGCCCCACCTGAACTTGTTTCTATAGGAGATAGAATTTATCTTATGTTATATGAGAAAAGTTGAGCACTTAATATGTAATCAGTTTGCCTAAACTTTGATATATGATTGTCCTTTTAGTTGTTTAATAAAGTGCTTAATTTGTCTTTATTCTTGTTGACTTATCGAGAGAGAGCTGCAAGATACTTAGGGTTTGGGCTATAGAGATATAGGTAAACTCGGAATATTATTAAGCATTGTGGTTTAACTAATTTAATTGGTTAATTGTGGGTAGAGAGATCATTCACACCACATGTTTATGATGATTGTCCCCAAAATCCTCAATCTTTCTGTTTTGTAGGAAATTATAACATGAGTGACCATTATTCAAACACCTACAACCCAGATTGGTGGAATCATCCAAATTTTTCCTATTTTGAAGGGCAACAGCGAGGGTCAGCGCATGCTACAGCACTGCAAGATCACAGACCACCATTCCAGCATCAGCAACAGCAACAACATTACCAGCAGCCTGAACAACAAGCTGACAACTCTGATACGCT